AGGTCCCGGAAGGTCCCCTGAGGTCCCAGGCGAGTACCTCAGGTCCCTGAGGACTCAGGTTGGTATCTCGGGTACCATAGGTGTCCCCGTGGTTCCAGAGGGCTACCTTAGGTCACTGAAGACTCTGGCTGGTTCCAGAGGTACTAAGCGAATACCAGAAGACTCCCACGAACGATGCCACGCAAAAAGATGTTGTGAAGTTTTTTTAAAAGTTTCTAAAGGTTTTTTTTGGTTTTCATTAAATATCTCAGGACCACTTGCTCTTTTTGGACTTTTGACATCACTGTCGAATTTCACTCGTCTAGACCTTTCAAACGAGTATAAGGTTGATAGGGTTCTCAAGCCTAGGAAAGAAGGTAGGCTAAGGGACCTCGAAACCCTATCAACCGTATACTCGTTTGAAAGGTCTCGACGAGAGGAATTCGATAGTGATGTCAAAAGTCCAAAAAAAGCAAGTGGTCCTGAGATATTTAATGAAAACCAAAAAACCCTCTAGAAAGCTTTAAAATGCTCCACAACATATTTTTGCGTGGCATCGCTCGTGGGAAACTTCTAGTGTACGCTTAGTACCTCTGGAACCAGCCACAGTCTTCAGAGACCTAAGGGACCCCTCCGGAACCCCAGATACTCCTCTAGGACCCTAGAAGGCCGCCCAAACTGCCAGGGAACCGCAGTACCCGTCTGGGACCTCAGGTACCCCTCTGGGACCTGAGGTCCCGGCCTAGGCCCTCAGAGGCCTAAGGTACTCGCCTGGGACCTCAGGGGACCCTCCGGGACCTGACTGTGCCGCCCCAACCTCCATGGACCTGAGTTAACCGTCTCGGACCTCAGGTCCGCCTCTGGGACCTGAGGTCCCAGCCTAGGCCCTCAGGGACCTGAGGTACTCGCCTAGGACCTCATGGTACCGTCTGGGACCTTACTATGCCTCCCCAACCCCCGGGGACCTGAGGTAACCGTCTCGGACCTCAGGTCCACCTCCGGGACCTGAGGTCCCATCCTGGGCCCTAAGGGACCTGAGGTACTCGCCTGGGACCTCAGGGGACCTTCCGGGACCTTACTGTGCCGCCCCAACCCCCGGGGACCTAAGGTAACCGTCTCGGACCTCAGGTCCGCCGCTGGGACCTCAGGTCCCAGCCTAGGCCCTCAGGGACCTCAGGTACTCGCCTGGGACGTCAGGGGCCCGTTGGGACCTTACTGTGCCGCCCCAACCTCCGGGGACCTGAGGTAGCCGTCTCGGACCTCAGGTCCACCTCTGGGACCTGAGGTCCCAGCCTAGGCCCTCAGAGACCTGAGGGACCCGCCGGTGGCCTCAGGGACTCTATCTGGTACGTCCTGGTCTCGAACCCATCGTCGGGGAGCCGGTGGCGACATCCTGGGCCAGCCTGAGTCGTCCTTGATTGGACGTGAAGCCGTCCTTGACTCGATTTGACGCCGTCCTTGAATACTGGTCGTCGGTTTTCAAGGACGGCCCTTGAAAACAGCCATTTTCTGTCCATTTTCAAGGACCCGTGCTTGAAACGGAGTTTTGGTCCTTGAAAATGCAAAAATGTCCTTGAAAACCAAGGACCGGGGTTAACCGAGCTCCCTCGCGAACGCGGGGGACGGGACGGACTGCGGCGCGCGTGGGGATGGAAGAAAAAGAGGGTCGTGTCGGGTCGAGTTCGCGCTCCAAGTGTTTGAGCGGGTTTGAGAGACTTTCCCTGTGATTTGCGCGTCGCCTGCTGATGTGCGTCCTGCTGCCAAAAGCGCAGCGAGAATGGCGAGTATGGAGGTGCGCCATACCAGACAATCGGACAAATTATCGCTTTTCAGTATTTTATTTTTTGTTTTTGTGTTTTTTTAGTAAAACGCGGGGTTCTCTGTAGCTCTAGTGCACACACACGCCCCCTGATGATGGTGTTGAAGCGCGTGGACTGCACCGTGAGCCGCGCCAACGACGTGGGGGGGGGGGGGGATATACACGCCCCCAGGAGGGCGTGTGTACCTGCGCCACATGCCACACACACGCACACACGCGCGCGCGCACACACACACGCAATATTATTTTCTTTTGTCGGGCGTTGTTGGCTGCCGTTGGCCGACCCCCGGCTCGCTGTAGGGTGACTGTGTGTGTGTGCA